TAAAGCCCTTAATACATAAATAAATTTCAAGAAAAATAAAATAATTATAATGTAGTTTATCTTTAGAAAATTGGTTTGAAAAATATTTTTACACATAACAAGGTCATGCACCAAGTAATCTCATTATCTTTTCTGTTGACTTTTAAAGATAAAATACATTAATAGTTCATTTATTTTAGGTTGACATGCAAGCATAGTTTTAAAACCTGGCCCGGCCCGGCGGGTTGACCCGGGACCCGTCCGACCCGGGGCTGGAACTGGGCCGGGTTGATGAAAAAATAAGATGAGCCATGACCCGGCGTGACCCGGCCAACCCGTTGGGTTGACCCGGAAACCCGGACGACCCGACAAAACCCGGTTGCAACCCGTTGACTTTTGTTTGTTTGTTTTTTTTTACTAAAACGATGTTGTTTTGAATTTTTTTTAAAATAGAAATTGACCCGGCCGACCTAGTCAAAACCCGGTGACCCGGTCAAAACTCGGAACCCGGGCCTTAAACCGGGCCGGGTTTAAAAACTATGCATGCAAGTGATAAAACTCTCAATACATAAAAAAATTACATATTAAAAAAACTAAACATGCGATATAAAAAATTAAGAATAACATCAACATGACAGTAAGTCAACAACAACATTAGCATATAAAATGACATTACACACAGATAAAATGACAATTTAAAAATAATGTTAACGCATATATAAAAAATGATAACACATCATAAAGAATAAAAAAACATAACAACTCCAAAACGTCATCAACATATCAATTTTACAATATTTTCAATCAATTTTACATCATAATGAATGAAATAAAAATATTAACAATAATCAATATTTTGTCACAAAAATTCAACAATAAGTTAAAAATTATTTTAAAAATCATTAATATTAGAAATTCACTTTTCAAAGTTGTCAGAAGTGCTAGGAGAAGCTAGAAAATGGTTAGAATAGTGTTCGAACATGGTGGCTTATGGTAAACACAAATTGTGGAGGCGCAAGGCTATAACAAATTATTTATACCACCAATGAATGGTGGAGGCACGTCTATAGCAGGGTCAGGTGTGAGCCTTGTTCCTCTTCCCTTCTACACTAATGGTAAGCTTCAACATCTCTTATGGAAAGAGATCGGGTTGTCCAAAGTTTCAATCATCTCACTCTTTTTTTCCTCTTTACTACGATTGTTATTGTTGTTGTTGCTGGGTGACTGCTAAAAAAAAATATTACTTTATGGTAATCGGGTTTTATTCTTGTTGATGTGGAGATGATGACTGTTGCCATAAGTTGGGGAGGAATTCGCGAGTTAGAAGAGAGGGAAAAAATGGTTGATTTCAATGTTGATGATGAGCAAGAGGAGGTTGTCAATAGTGGTGGTTGTCATGGAGGTGTTGACAACTAGATACTGATAGAAATGATGTTGATGCTTGCATGGTGATGGAGAGTTGAGAGAGAGATGAGATAAGGGGCTAGGATGTTTTCTTCTTCTTTTTTTTTTCAATTTTTGTTCTTTAACTTTCACTCAAAAAAATTTTCTCTCTCTCTCTCTCTCATGTTTGCTGCAATCTTTTTTAATTAAATTTTATTATCTATTTTTAACTCATCCTCTCTATCTGAAGTTTTTTTTTTCTTTATATTTTTTTCATTAAAATTTTACTCTCTTAAAATTTTCTCTCTCACTCAAATTTTTGCTCCCCTTTATTTTTCTCTTTTATCTTCTTAAACCTTCTCCCATCTTCTACTCTCTTCTCTTTTTTTTTTAATTTTTATTTTTTAACCTTATCATGTATCCTTTAGTTGCTTGGATAAAGGGTTAGAAAAGTTTATATCAATCCCCTATCTCTTCCTTAATTATCACTATGCTCATTAAAAAATTTCATTGATTTTCCTTAATTATCCATGATTTTTTTGCCTTTAATGAAAGCTTATTTGTTGGAGCTAATGACACAACTTACAACCTCTAATATATTATTTGTAAGTATTTCAATATCATCTTATAGATCCTATTAATCAAGCCAATGGACCTATAATCATTGAAGCTTCTATATTTTACAATATTTGAAACTAGCATAATATAGCTAATATTTAAGCCTTTAGGTACTGTGCCTGTACGAAACAATTCTAAGACAATCATAAGTAAGTCAGCATTCAAAAAGCCCCATGTTTTCTCATAAAAGTTGAGATTAAACCTATCTGGACCTTATGCTATTATCCCATCACTATTGAAGATAACATCATGAAGTTCATCAATTGTTATTGTTCGTTCAAAATAATCAGCTTGCCATGAGCTTAATTTCTTGAATCTACTGCTTACCTATTATCGTTCGTTCAAAATAATCAGTCTGCCATGAGCTTAATTTCTTGAATCTATTGCTTACCAATACATAAAGGTCTATGAGTATTTATCTTCATAGATAATTGAAAGAAGTTGAATGCCCCATCCTTCATTTTATTAGGATTAAAGACAAATCCCATTCTGCAGAAGCTATTGGATATGATTTATATTAACACGAAGCCTAGTTGATATATGGAAGAAACTTATGTTGTGATCCTTATGTTTTACCCAGTTTAATCGAGCTATTAACAATTTTTTTGTTGTCATGCCTTTTCTTTTTAATAAGTTTTTAGATTGTATTTAATTAAAAGCATATAATAGAAGAAACATAAATGGAAGATACAAAAACATGTTCATTAAGAGATAAAAACATGGACATAAAATAAATATATATATATAAAACAATTTTAGAGTGATTTTTTATCATTATAAAATAAAAATGACAAATATCATATCCTTTTTATCCTAACCATCTTTTTTTTTTTGGTCAAAATAGCAATCAAATGCTATCTTAATATCTATTAAGATTTCTCATTAAAAATAGATAGAAAAACCTTGACTCCAAGTTAAGTGGTCTTAATGTTATTGTTGAAATTTCCCAATTCATTAATCAATCACTCGAGTCTAACTTATACCGTTCAAGAAATTAATGCAAGCAAATCAAAATAAAAATAAGAAAATTTCAACCATATAATCTAATTTTTCAAAGAGAAGAGGGACATCCAAACATACCTCTTTTAAATTACTAAAAAAAAAAAACTTAGCCAAGAAGAGAGTGTTTAAATTGAGTGCTTTCTTAAGGATAATTGAACTCAAAAGTCAACTGGATCCTAAATTTTTACCCTAACTATAACAATACTTCTACCCTTCATTATGTTCCTATATTTTATTAAAAACCTAATATGAAGTCTATAATTTGTATTAACTTTCAATCATTATAGATAACCGTTATCTTTACACAATAAATGTTATTGTGTTTTTTAAAAAAGTTCTGATATAAATAATGTATTGTAAAATTCAAATACAATTTATCATTTAGAATTTTTTAAATTATAATTTTGATTAAAATATCCATGATGTTAAGCACAAATATTGGTATTGATATGTATTTATGTATGTAAGTAAATAGAACTGATCAATTTGTATCAATAAAGACTATTTATGAAGATAAGTTTGGTACTAGACACGAAAATACACCTCAGGCAGTTTTTCTAACATATATAGCTTTCGTTTAATGCATATCTTAGCTGTCTTTTCAATTTGGCATATGTATCAATGGTACACATCAAACACATACACATACTTTTGAGCTTCATAGTTGTAGTATTTTTTTATAACTGAAGTATGGACACATTTTTTAATAGCTAGCTAGATTTCCATAATGATGCTGGAGATTTCTGGTCATCAACATAGAATAAGATACAAAAATAGAATTAATATAGAAGACACAAATATTTGTAATGATGTATGGGTTTTTGCTATCAACTATTCCCACATTTGCTTGTGAGTAGTCAAGGGTTCATTCTTCAATGTTTACCAAAGAGCTTAACCTAATCTTTCATGGTGTTCTTCATCCATCTAAATATATATAGCTCAAATTAAGGATTCATTAAACATCTACACTAAATCTTTGGAAGGAAGTACATGGAGAGGAGAATGATAGTAGTTGAGATCCTATGTAGCATAATAGCATGCATTTTCGGAAAGCTGCACCATTATTGAACATGTATCTGCCTGCTATAAGTGATGAACTCGATAATAAATAAACTTATAGTATGCTTATAGCATCAGACCGATAAATGAGAACTAGCAGGCTGAAATTTTTGATCTGTAGCAAGGCACATGCACCATGCCTGCGTATCACTTTTGATGACCATTTTAAAACTGTAGCCCACAAATGTTGTGATGGAAACAGATTGTATGATGGTATACAAGCTATTTATCAAAAAGGAAAGGAAAAAAAAGAAGAGAAATTGGTGATCCCAGCTCTCAATTCCTCACATCTGCTTCAAAATGAACTTGGCCGTGAAGCGGAGGACATTATTCACCTAGGAAATCGCTTTCCTTCTTTTGTCCCCGCTCTTAGTAAATTAGCTAGCTATTTTAATTCGGAGAATATGCAGAGGAGAGTCCCCTGTCAATCATTCCCTCTTCATCTTCTGTTATGCCAGATCGTTTGAGTTCTTAATAATTAAAGGGGATGAGATTTCATGATAAATAAATAAAAAAAGTGAAAGCCTAATTGACCAACCTTGTAGCCCATGTTAAATTAATTATAATAAACATTGATCTGGTACTAACACACTATTTTTTTATTTATAAATTAATCAAACACATCTAAATAGACTTAGATTAAAATTTAATCTTATCTTAATTTAGGTAAGATAAAATAAAATTTTAAGCTCGGTCCCCTATAATAAAACCACTTGGTTCTCAAATAAGAAAATAAAAAATTGTCTAGCTCCACTAATGGTTTCAGCTATATGAGAAAAGTTATGATGAGCAGGGAAGTGCCTAGTTAGTATCATTTAATTTAAAGAAACAAAAATAATCAAATTAATTAGCAAATTGTGTATAACTAATGTGTGGGTCCTCATTACACTTGCAAAAATGCAATTTGTAGCTGTAATTTCCCCCCCGAAATGCTCAGTCCTTCCCATCATCATAAAAAATATTCCCTCTATATTGCAATAATTAATGCATGTTTTTTATGATTTTTTCTTGTAATTTATCTTTCGTCTTCGTGCATATTTATATAAGGGCAGGTATTCAGATGATAGCAAACAAGTTAGGTGACCTTAGAAGAAGTTAAAGCACCCAACAACTGATGAAGGATCGATGGATCATTCTTTCTTCAACCACCCAAATCTAGAATTCTCGCCATCATCTCCCTCCAGCTCTCTAGATCTATTGCAGGATGACCTTCTTTTCAACCCTCATGATGATTATTTCTATCTATTCAACTCAAATGACTCTGGAGAGACACTTCCATCTGATGTTCCTTTCACCGAAGCCATAGAATCTGCTACTAGTTTTACCTCCGATGTTCCACCAAATAACAAAACCAACGACTTGTCGGAACTTATTTCCTCGAATGAGATCGAGGAAAAGGAAGCCGCTCCGAATGCTAAAGAAGAAAATCCCGGAAGGGAAAAGACCTATAGAGGGGTCCGAAAGCGGCCGTGGGGAAAATACGCGGCGGAAATAAGAGATTCCACAAGAAATGGAGTGCGAGTTTGGCTAGGCACATTTGATACCGGTGAAACAGCTGCTTTAGCTTATGACCAAGCTGCATTATCCTTGCATGGCTCTAAGGCTGTCCTCAATTTTCCGATTGAGAAAGTGAGAAAATCATTAAGAGAAATGAAAAGTGGTTTAGAAGATCAGTACTGGTGCTCCCCAGCCGAGGCACTGAAGAAGACTCACTCCAAAAGAAGGGCAGGGAGTAGGAAAGGGAAGGGGAAAGGGAACGGGCTAGCAACCAAAGAAGTGGTGGTGTTCGAGGATCTAGGAGCTGATTATTTGGAAGAACTTTTAAGCTCTTGTGAGAGAGGTACCCCTCAATGAATCAGCATCTCCGCCAGGATCTCACTACTGCTGTCTTTTAATTTCCAATTTTATTCTGTATATTTTTCCTTTTTTGTGTGTGATTTTTTGTTTCACTAGGAAAAAAAAAAGAAAAAAAACTGAGAGAATCTAGGAGAAAAAATGTTAGTAAGAAAATCATGATTCTGCTTCTCAAAAATAATACCAAAATAAAACTCAATTAGTTGGGTAATTTCCTTCCAGATATCAGAACAAGATATGAATTTTTTCATACGTTCATATGTTCACAAAAATTCACATTAATATTCTTTGAACAGTTCTATAAACATCATCAATGTTTTTTGAACTTCCGCAATTAATAATGTTCCAAAATAAGATGTTTTTAATTTCCAAATATGGCATGAATAATCTTTTAGCACTGTGAAGTACATTTTAAGTATATATAATTACATCTCTGTTCCTATCAATATAATTGTTCTTAAAAAAAAAAAGAAAACACTACGTTGTAAGTACCTGATGTTGTTCCATTTTAACTTGACCGTGCATAATTATATATATATATATCATACTGGTCTAATTAACGTCCACCGTTCTAAAATGAAAAAAAAAGAAAAAAAAATCTTAAAATGACATTTTTCACCGTGCACCAATGACATTTTCCTCTCCCCTCGTTCCACATTTCATTACTGGTCTAATTAGGATACACCATTGTCCATAATCTACACACTTTTTTATTTTTATTTTTTTAATAATAGTCGAGGTTAACTTATTAAATGTTAGAAATTAAATAAATCCCTGCCAAAGACACACCTTCATAGTATTAATTAAAGTCTAAATTAAGAGCGAAAAATTGAAACCGAAAAACAAATGTATTTAAGAAAAGAAAAAATTAAATTGAAATTAATTTATAAATAAATTAAATGAAGATTTTGAGGATTTGTGCTCCTAAACATTAGGTTGAATTAACCAACTCTTAAGCAATGTCAAATGACTAGTCAATCTAAAACTTCAATTTTTAGGTGAGCTATAGTAAAAAATTTCTTTTTTATCATTCACACACACACACTGGCTGTTTGCTAGGATGAGATCTCATTATTGATGAGAGAAACTTCATATTCTGCTGCCGCAATCAATGTCTAAGATGAGAAAATAATTATAATATATAAAGCGATAACTAAAGCATAAAGTTACCACCAAATATTATGCGAAAATGGTTAGAGAGAGAGCACAAGACTTTACAAAAGATTGTCCTTTAAATCTACTCGAAAATAAGAGATCAGAAAGCATGAGGTTTGACAACATATTTTTTCTCTTTTTTTATAAATTCTCTTCAAATCAGGTGCCAGATTCCCACCGTCCAAATGCTAAAAATATATATTAATCACATGACAATGATGTTCACTTTATACAAATATCAAAGAATTATTAGGTTTTTCAATAATTTAATTTTAGTAACAGGAAAGACGATGCGATGGGTACCCGTAGATCGAGTTTTTTATATTCATATTCTATTTATTATTTATCGAGTAAAAAATTTAAATATTTATAAATTATCTGATATATATTTAATAATATTAAACAATTATCTCAATTTAATAACTTAAGTTATTAGATAATATTTTAAGATATGATTTATATAATTTTCTAACTCACTCGTTAAAGTGAAAGTCTTTTAAATTTGAAATTTATACAAACTTATATTATTTATTTTTAAATTTTTTTATCAAGTAGAATGGATGATGAGATTCTAATTCGTGATCATTTGGTTAACAAAACTCTAATACCATGTTAAAGAATTATTTCAACCCAATAGCTAAACTTGTTAGGTGATATTCTAAAATGTGATTTATATAATTTTTTAACAAATAGATATCCATTATCTATTATTATTTATTAATTAATAAAACATAAGATAGCTAATATATATATATATATATATATATGTTAAATGATAAGATGAAAAATATTATTTATATACATGAGCATGAGTTTTATGCTATTATTAAGGTATGCATTTATTATATTGTATTCAAAATTATAAATATATATTTATATAATATAAATATATGTTTCAACTTAGATTGAAGTAGATTTCAAATCATGATTAACAGTACTCATTATCCATCCATCGCATATAAAAAAATTATACCCATTTAGATCTTATCCATATATACATGAAATTTAGATTAAATTATCATTACTACTGGAAGCCCAAAAAGTCCTTTAAATAAATGAGGATGAGGGATTGTACGGATACAACAACCAAGCAAAACAAGTCTTCTGTCTCTTGAGCAAACCAAGGCTTGGCCTAGCAGTGGAAGGGGCTTGTCTCCTTTCACTGCACCTGGGTTCGAGCCTTGGCGTGCACGCCTGTCACCCCCGCGGTGCCTTACATGCCTACTGGGTTTGCAGGGTATTCAGTGGGCTGTGGGGATTAGTCGTGGTGCGCGCAAGCTGGCCCGGACACCCCACGTAAATCAAAAAAAAAAAAAAAAAGTCTTCTGTCTCTTAATGGCATCATTTTGCTTACCACTAATTCCAGAACTTTAGGTAGGACTGTCATATAAAGATTTTGAATTTGTTTTCTAAGTTAATTAAGAAGCCCACTTTTGAAAATAGTATAGTTGAAATTCCGAGAGAAACCACTTGCATCAAGCAACGCAAAGATTTAGCCTAATAAAAGATTTGATCTTTGACAGCAATGTATTTCATTCCCTTTTATTCTTCTAAAATCCATTAACAAAAAGCATTTGACTGCAAGACTCACTTCGCTAGCCTTGGAAATTTGATGAGAGTAAACCATACATCTTGTTCTAAGATTAGTATATTCCTAATAATTATTGTTGTGTGTATTTTGCGTTATTTCATGCCTAAAATATTCGTATAATTTTTATTCCTTTTATTTATTACATGTTTGTTAATTTGTATGGAAAGCATTTTCATCACAATTCCAATTAAACAAAACAATTGCAATGTGCTTTCAATATCAGATTTTAACTTGAGGCCTAATGGTCGATTCAATAATTCAAATCATCCATATATATATTTCTAAGGCTTTTAATTGTTATTGTTTTACCTTAGTATCTTGGATTACTTACAGAAAAAAAAAAATAGGATGGTGGGATTGTAACAAAGAGAGAAAGGCAAAAGTTCAAAAAAAATAAGAAGAAGAAGAAGAGAGAAAACGTACTATTCATCATCTTCCACCCTCTCTCAAAAAAAAAAAATTCAAAACCCTAGCCACCTTCTCTCATCACTTTTCTACCGGAGACACACCAACAATAACCCTTGACCGAACCAACCCAACATCAGCCTGATTTTCTCACAAACCAACCCATAGCAGCCAGAACCAACCCTTAACAGCCCTTGACCGATCTCATTTCAACCCATAAATGTTCAATCTTATCCTCTCAAACCGACAGTAGCAGCCCGACGTCAACACTATTCTGGTCTCCTTTTTATCACAGTGTTTCCCAAAACCTCGACTCAAACTAGTCTAATTTTGCCCAGAAAAAACCAGACCTGAAAACCACCATCTTCAACCTAAAAATCACTTGAAAACAGTACCATAACCAATCAACATCAACACGAAGGCTTCCCTAGACAAAACCCACAAGTCACAACCTCAATTACCCCTCAAAACCCCGATGTTTTTGCTGTCTTTTTCTTTTCTTTTCTTTTTTTTGCAGGTCAGTGCAGCACATGAAGAGCATGCACCACCACCAATCCCTCGACTCATACTGCAAGCGCGTGCGCGTAACACTGCTCCACCTTGTTTCGGTTCATTTACGACAGTTCCAGATTAAGGTATTTTTGGATTCAAATGCCAATTTATTTGAATTATTTGCACGATGATATTGGCGTGGATTAATTTTTATGTGCCCATTTGTTAATGAAATTTGGGTGATACTTTATTAATTGGTGCGATATATATATAAAATCTATAATATCAATAGAGAGTTTAGACTCCATGAATAATAATTTTCGATTTCAAAATATCTCTACTCTGTAGAATTAATTTCGGCCCTCTTTTTGTTTTATTGGGAGAAAATATACGGAGAAAGGCATTTGAATTTGAAGGACTGCTTTATTACAAGTCTTTGCCTTTTCTCTGTGATAAAATCTGCTTTTCCTTTCATTGAATTTTGTCAAGTCAAGCATTCAATTTAGGTCTAGATCAAGTGGATTTTCATTAAAATAGAAATCTTACTATAGTTAAGAAAATTCTCATAACACAAATAAAAATAATTAATTAACTAAAGCTTAATTAGGCTGCACTTGATTGATACTCTTGTAAATACTTTTTTTTTTTCAAAATGAGTGCGCAAATTAATTAATTACACACAAAACCTAAAACATTTGCATTGAATAATTTCCATAATGTTCATATGGAAACAAAACTTATGAAATTAATTAGAGGTTGAAAGTCCAACCTTTATCTAGAAACAATCTCAGCTTGAGATTTGACTTGAACCAAGACTAGGATTGCAAGTTTCTATATAAATTAATTAAGATAATATCAAAACAATACTTTTTTAAATAAAAATTACTCTTTAAAAAATACATATAAGTAAAATTCTTGAAGATAAATTATTTATATATCACCCAAGTTTGACTGGATGAATTGAGTTGGCTAGTCTAATTAAATCAACTGGCAAACACATTTAAAATAAAACTTAGTTTAAATTATGTTTTAAGTTCACATGATACCTAGTGAATTTATTTATATTTAATAACCATGTTTTAAAATAAAAATATGATGCAATGGTGATATAAAATTCTCAATCAAGAGGAGGGAATAACCCATCTTTTCCACTTTTTACCAGAATATATATATATATAAACATACAAGGGAGATTAACCGTTGGTACTTGAAGAATTTTCCCTCATCGTGGCTACATGGTAACGGAAATTACCAGCTGTAACTGAGGTCAAAGATTGATAGCAAGAACAAACTCGCACAATGTACCGAGAAGAGAACTCTGAGATACCCTTTATTGACGTAAGCAAATTTGGCGTTAAGTAGTCGCCATAGATTTGTCGTATAGCGTGTCTCGACCGAGCACATTAATTTTTCAATCTTTCGCCTGCTCTGCTCTGCTCTACTTTTGATTGTTGGATTGGGGACCAAATAAATTAAA